TATTTTATACATTAAAAATGTTAATTAAATTAAATAATGTATGTAAACATGACTCAATATTACCTAACTGTAAATTGTTTTGAATTTTTTTTTAGTTAAACCGGATGCAGCATTATTAATAGAAAACCATTTTTCAAAAAGGCTTTTAAAGCCAATAGTGCCATCCAATCAACAGAACAAATGGGTTGACAGTTCTAGTCTGTTATACTTCATTAATATACCACAAGTAGCTTTATTTTACTTGTTTTGTTTTCAGTTACGGAACCCGAAGAATCAACACTAAAAGCAGATAAATTGTGTGTTCACGATGTGGAAATAAAATCTACTCTTATCGACTGAATTGAAAGTATTATAAATAAAATAAAAAAGTTTTCTACGGTGTTTGTAAATTTAATTTATTCAAAATCAGTAGCCAATAGGATTTAGAATCTTTACTGAAAGTTAGAAATATTGGTACATAGTAATAACTAATAAGTATTCATTCTTTTTTTAATGGAATACAATTTTTATTTTAACTGCTTACACACTGGAAAAGTGTATTATGTTTGTATTAACGTACACAAAAAATKCATGGGAATACTTATGATACTAATGAAACAGAAACAAATTTGTATTTCATCATAATATTATTTTTTGAGTGGAAATATTATTATTTATTACTGTTGTAATTTTTTCATGAACAAAATGTGGATTTGATAATATATTTTTAATAAATATACTTTTTATACTGTACCTACCAGTGGAGACAGTGGAGTGTTTAGAAGTTTGTTTAGAAGAATGAAATAAATGATAATATTAATATACGACGGTAGCCCATTCGGCTCCCGTTTTTCTAAACAGCTCTCGTTTTACAAAAAGGTCAATTTTCAAACGGTCCCGTCAAAAAAGGTCTAATGAAAAGGTAAATTCCTAAACAGCTACGGTTTTTTTTTACAACACAAATTCATTCTCACTTTATACAGACTTAGGACTGTCTTAAAAGAGGTGTGGTTAAAAATATCTTGTAGTACTCTAAGTAAATTATTAAAATTATATAAAAAWAGTTTACAGTATAATATATAATTTTTAATTTTTATCGTTAATAAAATATAAAAAAAGGTTTGTATAAATAAAAAGCGG